AAATCACACACCAAACTCAGGCAAAAGACTGGTGATTGGACTGTCCGTAAATCAAAACTCTCCCCTTCTCCTCGGATCAGGTTGTCCCTTGCTCTTAGCATTGAACCACATCCTGATTGGAGCCACAACAGGATCAGGAAGCATGTCTTCAGAACCTGCATTAAATTTCAAACACCATGACTACACCATGTGTCTTACGCAAAAGAGTAGGTAGGACTCCCTCAGGGACAACATGTGACTGTTACAACTGCTGTGATATTTACACATAAGACTACACATCTGTACACGACAAACTTCTCAACCAACAATGGATCAGGAGGGCAATCTGTCAAGATTTGAATCTCCTGACCAGAGTCGATGAGGAGAGGAGAATTTCCAGAAAGGGTGGCAGTTAGATGAAGCTTTACAAACCAAAACGGCATGCATATCCTTCAATTCCTTTACTTAACCAGAAAAAACCTCTCTCATTTAAACTGACCAACAGATCCAGCATCCAATGGCATTTGTGGAAGAGAATTCCAAACCTCTTCCACCCTTTGTGCATAGAAGTGCTTCCTAACATCTTTTCTTAACGCCCTGGCCGTCATTCTCAGACTATGATCCCTTGTTCTAGGATCCACAGACAGTGGAAATAGTTTATTGACTTTGTCTTTTCTTGTTAATATTTTGAAGATTACCCCTTAACCTTCGAAAATATGGTTAAAATAGATGTTGTTTTTATAAAAAAAAATAGAAATTGTGCAGCAAGTCTGGCAGCATCTTTGGGGGAGAAAGCAGAATTAATGTTTCAGGTCCAGTGACCCTTCATCAGAACTAACTTGCCTGATCGCTCCTCATACTTTCAAAACACGTGAAATCTCAACAGATGACAGAATGCTGAGATCAGAAAATGCTGAAATCAGCAGCAGTGAAGTTGGAACTCTCTTTCAGTGGAGAATTGTACCGAGAATGCTGCTCAGTGAATTGCTATCACTGTTCTGGTGTCTGGATAAGCCTGACCAGTCAGTGAGGTGGAGAAGTTATTGTTCAAAAGCTAAAATCAGAGAGCAAATCAGCAGCAGATTAAAACAAATGCAGTTGTCATAATGCCATACCAGGGATGCCAATAACAGCAAGGATGGTGTAGAACACCTTCTCCATTTGATCAATTGGTAGATGCCTTTTTCTGTGAGGTGATCTGTCCCTTCAAGCAGCTGACAAGTTTTCCTTGTTTGAAACTCTGAGCTGATGCATTCCCAGAGATGTGTGGACTGTGTGGAAACTCCTCAGGGAGACTGAGGTTGTAGCATTGCTCAGCTTTGTTGCTGTTTTTCAGATTTTTGTCAATGAACAAACTAATTACAATAACAAGTTTAATCCTAATTATGAAGGCTCATATATCATAATGAAATAACTAAAACAGAATCTGGAATCTGCTAGCAATAACGTTGTTCACTCAAACACCATGAGCCCAATCCCGAGATCACAAATCATTTCAACCAATGCTGCACTGACACCCTTTATTCCAAGTGTGAAAATATGTCTCAGAGCTGTGTTTCTGTACTCTAGGGTGGAGTTGCACTCTTTAAACAAGAACATTTCACTCACTGATTGAAATATGATTCTTCTCAGATGCTGAATGTGTGCATTGTTGCCAAGGTCAGCATTTATTCCCCATCCCAAATTGCCCAGGATCTGAAGTCACATGAAGGACCATGTGAGGAGAACATACTGCCTTTCCTGAGGGAAGGGGTCTGAATGAACAAGATGGGCTTAAAACAATGGATACATCACTGACCACACTCTTGATGTCACTGCCAATCCAGATACAGCACTGACCCCACTCCTATTAACACTGTCGATCTTCATATATCAGTAACATCATGCTTATTTTCAATGTCCATTCAGATACATATTGATATATTGACCTTTACTTATTGTCATTCAGATATATCATTGATCTCAAACTTATTGTCACTATTCAACCAGATACTTTACTGACCTCATTTTTATTGTCGTGTTCCATCCGCATGCATCAGTAAACCCACTCGTACTGCCACAGTCAATACAGACAGATCACTAACCTCACTCTTATTAGATACATCACTGACCTCACTCTAGCATTGCAGTTGTCGCAGCTCACAAGGAAGGCAGGTGGAATTTTAACATTTATTACAAAAGGAATACAGTATAAAAGTAGGGGAATGATGCTACAAGTGTAGAAGACATTTGTGCAACCTCAGCTGGAGTATTACAAACACTTTTGTTCCCCTCACTTGAAAAGAGCTATAATTGCATTGGATGCAATTCAGAGGAAGTTCATGAGATAATTCCAGAGATGAAGGTGTTGTCTAGTTCCTCTTTAAAACAAGTTAGGCAACTCCAACCAGAATGTTCTAAATGAGTTTGCCCAGGTGTCACACAATACTGAAACGTTCAATTCAGTATGAACATAAGCCAAAACCAACAAAAACAGTCCCTTCTTTATTAGGAAAATGTTACAAAACCCTTTAATTGTAGACATATTGTCTCTAATCCTATTTAGCCCCTTAAGTTTACAATACTTCCAAGATCTCTTGCAGATTTATGCAGTCGCGCTCTCTCTCTTTCTCCCTGCCTCTGTTTTGGGGTCTGCAAAGTTGCTTTCTCTCATCCTCTGTCTCTGGATAGTCAGCTGGTCTCTGCCTCTTGCCATGTTGGTCTCCTCGGAAGGCCTCCAGAAATTTCAAGAAATCAATCTGCAACTGAACCCTGTTTTTGTACCTTGATGATTTTCCAGAACTTCCTATACTTCTGGCCAATCAGGAGAATCAGTTAATAGTTTGAAACATTGTCAATCATTTGGATGCTTGCTACTGTTTGTTTGTCTAGCAGGAACCAATGCCTTTCTGTCTGGTCTCCCCTTTGTTTGGTAGGTAAATTGTTGGGGATATGTCTGTCCAGGATAACTATTATCTTTTACATTACGCTAATGTCATTACCACCTGGCTGTTGTGTTTGCACTGTGTCTGGTCTTTGGGTTTTGTGACTTGAGAGTTCTGCTTGGCCAATATACCCAGCTTCCATTGCTATTTAGATAATTTGACCACCCTACCTATGTTTTAGCAGTCCTTTTTGAATGGAAAGAAGCTGATGCGAAAGAAGTGCAAACCTAATTGTAAAAGTTGGTTCCATTTGTTGTTGGTGAGCCAGCCGTTTGTGCGAAAGCCATGGTGTACATTGGTCAAACCTACCATGATATGTCTGATAATATTATTATTTCTACAAAGAATACCCCATTCCAATAATACATAAATAATTGTGGTGCATAGACAATATTCAGTGATCAGAATAAATACAATGAATGAGACCTGCTGACTCAAAATCCTGGAATTCCCTCCTTAAGGGCACTGTGGGTCTATGTACATCACATAGACTGCAGCAGTTCAAAGAGGCAGCTCACCACACCTTCTCAATGGCAACAAAGTTCAGGCAATAAAAGCTGGCCCGGCCAGCGACATTCAAATCCTGCAAATGAATACAAATAAAGTGATAAACCTGGGAGTTCTTTCTACCTTATAGCTCCTGTGTGTCTAGGAATTATTCATAGTGATCGTACCCATCTGTTGGGATATTTACCTTTTGCAGTCTGCAAACATAACCACCGGTATCTCAAGATATATCAAGGTGAGTGTAGTTAGGACCACAGTTTGATCTGAGAGGAGCCAACTTTATCAATGACAGGTTTTGGGCATGTGATGGTGTAGTCTGCTCAATTCACATTTACTTAAGAGTGGTCCCTGTCGATGCCCCCTGTCGATGTCCCCTGTCTCTCAACAGCATATGGGAGGGTGTCACGGTGACCCATCCAAAAACCTTTTTCATATAATTCCAAACGTCCTCAACCATCTTTGTTACTCAGGTAATTGGAATCCCTAGCATCAGACCCAGCGCCTCACTGAGAGTGTCCTTGCAGCTGTCATTAAACCAGACCTTGATGAGCTGAAGCAACTGACAGTGAGAGATGTTTGTGTGGTCTTCTCCTGGAACAAATGCTCACGCTGTTTGTTGCTAATCGGGATGGGACTTTTCGTTGGCTAGCCTGCCTGAGGTCCTCTCTTTGCTGTTCAATCATCCCGTTACTGTAGATACTACACAGGGTGTGGTTCTATTGCCTACCGTCATTCCTGATTTGGCCCTGAATGATCTTGTTAATCATCTTGACGTGACCCTTCAGTATAGTCACTAAATGGTAACTAGCCTGATTCTCCAACAGTTGTCCCGTGGCCTCCTGTTTATATTTAGTCCTTCTAGAGCTCCTGTGTCAAGAGTTTATTGTCCAAATTAGCCAGGTGAAGGGTATTGACCATTGACAGTCCTGACCCAAATGCTGTGGCTGGATCATGAAGAAGTTCCCTTTTCTTTCATTCTGTTAACTGCTGATCTAGCTTTTACCTCACATTTCCCTGTCCTCATCACATTATCCCGTGGGTCAGGTGGGAATATAATCATTTTAATGGGGAAGGACACCACTCCGGTAACTGCATCCCTGATACATCTATTATGATCGGCATTAGCTCATGGTAAATGTTATTAAACAAAGTTTTCCCTGTGAGTTTAATGACTAGTCCATTGCGAGGGCCTGGTTTGTGTGGAACAAGGTGGGGGAGGAGCCTTTACACCTGGTCTCAGCCCGTTTTTAATTTTGTTCTCAAGGAATTCTCCATGGTGGGGCTTCCTGGGACACCACTGTCTGAACTCTGGCCCCTCGTCCGGGCTGTGTGCTAGTCATCCCACTACTATGCTCCTATTCTCAGAGAAACCCCACCAATTGTCTGTGATCCCCATGCTCCGGTAATACAATGTGGAAATCCCATGGGGTTTCCTGTACACCACAAGCTGATGGTTATGCCAGAGTACCACTGATTCCATAGGGTGCACCCAGAGGGTCCCATCTACACACACCGCAGTATCTACTGGGTCATACCACAAGGATTCTCGGTACATCATTTTCCCTTGTGCTGTTCTACATCTTCACATACCGTCATTATAAGGCCTTTACACAATACACTCCATAAGGTCTCTTTGTGGCCTCTGAGTAACCGCTCTGGTACGCTTCCTAAAGAGAGAACAAGGATAATTCTATAAATATCTTGGTCTAATATCTGTCACCATGTTCTACATGACATCAGAAATTGGTCAAATTGTCCAACTGTCACCCATTCCTGCCCACTCCCTGCGAGAAAATAAATGTGACCCATGTGCAGTGCGTGGTGTAGAGGGTCACTTTGTCTCCCGGGGTGTAAAGGGATGTTCCCCGGTCACCGGAGCTGTTCCTGATTGGCTACCACGTGGCAGCTTGTGCACTCATGTGGCTGGGGAGCTTTATAGCTATTTCCATTATGGGGTTGCCCTTGTCATTGGCAATGTATAAGCCACAGCCTATTTTCACTCCAGCTGTTGCTGCCAGGATGGTACTCTGGATGTTGGCCCTCTTTCCCAGGCTTCCTGTTGTCAGGTGCCCCCCCACAGCCCTACGGCACCTTCCCCTGCAACCGGCAAAGGTGCAGCATCTGCCCATTTACCTCCTCCCTCCCTAGTATCCAAGGTCCCAAACATAGCTTCCAGTTGAAGCAACACTTCACCTGCACTTCGCAGAATCTAGTTCATCCAGCTCCACACCTTGTTATCTCAGACTGCAGTATCGGCAGTTCCTACTATAGCAAAATCTAGTCTACTGCATTTGCTGCTCACAATGTGGTCTCCTCTACATTGGGGAAACGAAGCGTAGACTGGGTGACTGCTTTGTATAACATCTCCATTCTGCTTGCAAAATAGACCCTGAGCTACCTGTTGCCTGCCACTTTAACACACCTCACTGTTCTCTGGCCAACATCTCTGTCTCTGGCTTGCTGCAGTATTCCAGCGAAGGTCAATGCAAGCTGGAAGAACAACACCTCACTTTCCGCTTGGGGACCCTGCAGCCCTCCGGACTCAATATCAAATTCAATAATTTTAGGGCCTAAACTTTCCCATGTCCTAACCCCTTACCCCACACACCAGGCCTTGTTATCACATAGCCTGCCACTACACACTACCTATTGTTAGTCACTAACAGACCCCATTAACCACTATTCATCCTCCCAGCCAGATTGTTATCAACACCTTTGTCTGTCCAACTGTTCTTCTCTCTCCTTGGACTCTATCCTATTGTTTAGTCTCTACCCCACCTCCCTCCCTATTTTCTGCTTTAAACTGATGTTTTCCCAGCTGCCATCAGTTCTGAGGAAGGGTCACTGGACCCAAAACATTAACTCTGGTTTATTCTTCACAGATGCTGCTAGACCTGCTGAGCTTTTCCAGCAACTTCTGTTTTTGTTCCTGATTTACATATTCACAGTTCTTTCAGTTTTTATGGGAATTTTATGTGCCCGAATCATATGGCTGGTTCAGGAACAGTCATAGCACAGACTGGGATAACAAGGTGTAGAGCTGGATGAACACAGCAGGCAAAGTAGCATAAGAGGAGCAGGAAGGCTGATGTTTCAGGCCTAGACCCTTCTTCAGAAAAGATAGGCCTGAAACGTCAGCCTTCCTGCTCCTCTGATGCTGCTTGGCCTGCAGGGTTCATCCAGCTCTACACCTTGTTATCTCAGATTCTCCAGCATCTGCAGTTCCTACTATCTCCATAGCACAGATTGGGTTTGTGGCTCTTTGGTGGGAGTTCCCTTCTTCTGGGGCAGGGACCAGTATGGAGGGGGTGTCTGTCTGGGCTCCTTGCTGTATTCCTGTCCCTTTCTTTGCTCCTCCAGGATTGAGAAGGAAGCTGTAAGAAGTCGAGACTGTGCTTATGTGGACTGATTTTCAGGATGACTGTTGGGCCCTTAACTCCCTTTTCCAATTAATTTGTGGAGGACCCAAGCCACTTTACAGGAGGCATTGGAGGATTTGAATCCCAAGCACGCATCCCTCCCTCTCTGTCAGGTATGGGAGACAAGGGGTCAGATCCAGTTTCTCATCACTAAGAAAAATGTGGGTCATGTCCCCAAAAACTTGAACAAATTGGACCCAGAATCTCTGGGGTGTTCTCCTTGTTGATATCTGCACTTATGTAGCATCTCAATGGCGTCTGCCTTATCCTGCCCTACAGCAGTGAGGACCAATGTCCTCATCCCATTGAGGGTCTCCCTCCCTTGCCATTGGCCTCGTGGAGGGCTGAATGGTCTGTTGGACTAAAGCACGATTAATTTGGTTTTCTCCTCAGCGTCCAATCCAACTATGACAGACCGTTGGTCAATCTCATCTGAGGCGGAATCAAAGAGAGTCACCTTTTTGGCGATGGCCGGCAGCTGGGTAGCTGGACTGGGTGTTGCGTATGTCAATGTGACTATCAGCTGCTTGAGGCAGGGTGATAAGAGAATTCATGGGCTCTGGTTTCGGCTGTGGGTCGGCATGGGGACTGATCGTGCAGTCACCTGGGAGAAAGCTGGGAACCCCATCTGTAGGTAGGTGTGGATGTGTCAGTATGGGGACTCTCGTCATCTCCCTGGGGAGATAGAACCCTGATCATAGAATCATAGAACCCCTACAGTGTGGAAACAGTCATTATCCATTCTGGGCGGAGACCTAGTTCCCTAGGGATTGTATTCAGTTCTAGCACTTCCTACTAGGCCCTGAAGTGCATTGCTCAGTATTGCAGGCATACAGGAGACATACGGATGTTTGGAGCTCCCTACACTGTTCTTCCATCATGTCAATGTATATTGAGGCTGCCTCCCAGACCCCAATGGCCCTCTTCTCACTAGAATGGGCTCTTTCCACTTGTGGCTAGAACTGTCCCATCTGGGTGAGGTTTTTCTGCAAAGTTCATAGAATCCCTAGAGTGTGGAGACAGGCCATTCGGCCCAACAAGTCTACACTGCCCCTCCGAAGAGTACCCACCCAGACCCATCCCCCTACAATCATGCATTTCCCATTTCTAATCCACCTAAATTACACAGGTTTCCAACATGTTCAGTTGGAATATCCCCCATATTCTGCCATGAAGAATGTTCTACAGTTTTTGGTTTAAACATTTTAAGCTGTTGGGTGATGTCAAACCATGTTAAATCTTCCAGGAATTTGCATAATATTGAGTCTCCATGAATGATCCTGCTTTAAGAAACTATCACATGCACCCGAATACAGCTTCCTGAACAGTTCAGTTAAAAATGTTCTGCTTACAGGACAAAAGCAGTCAGCCTGATATTTTGTTAGATGTTGATTAAGAGAAACTCTTCAACCCACATTGACTGGCATTTCTTTACAACTGCTATTTACTTTCTAATTTAAATTGTAAATTCAAAAGGGAGAAAAGTTCAGTTCCATGACATGGATTTAACAATCTGACTCACCCTCGGCTCAAAATCCCCCATCGAGAATTAGCAAAGGCATTTTTTTTTCTGTTACAAGCAACCCAGGAGTGAAATCATGGGAGTATATGAGAGGGACATGACTGTTATAGAAATCACCAATTCTGTCACTTTTTAGGGGATTAGCGCAGGGGCAGGGCCTAGTGAATGGCACTAGTTTTATTGGATTGATATCAATGGCAATATTTGCCAGATATCAACAAATGCTTTTATATATTTTTAGCTTTTGTCTCACTAATTAGAAATAATTAAGCATTCGATGTTACTAAAATTAAAATAATTCAGATGGCGAGGGAGTGCGTGACAGGCAGACTGTTCCCTGGGAATGTGGCACACAAAAACCTGTATTTAGTGTTGAACATTAGTGAGGGTTTTTAGAGGTGCAATCAGAAGCAAATTCCCAGATCTCTGGAAGACTTGGCTTCACAGGGGAGTATCTTGAAGTACAGATCTGCAATTGTTGTAAGGGACTTAATAGCTGAAGCAACAACAGGCATAAGTTCCCATTTAAATGATGCCAAAGGAAGGGATATCACTGAATGAGTGCAGAATGTTCTGCCAATAGAAAAGGAAACAGCTAGCAATCCATATTGCAACTAATATAGATAAGGAAAAGGGGTGAGGTCTTACAAGCAGACTCTTTAAAGGTATTCATTTTTGCAGTGTACTCGAAGTATAGAAACACAAAAATAATATGGTGAAAATATGCTTGGAGGAATGGTGGGCTTCAGATTCCATCAACCAAAACAGAGAGAGGGAGAGAGAAGCCAGGAAAACTAGGATAGATAAATGGTAACAGAACAAGGAATAGAGTAGAAAAAGAAGTTAGATGGAGAAAGAAAACCAAATCTAGCTAGCATTGTGTTAAAATTATTATTGTTTCTGTGAGGTATGCTACAAATAAGGTTGATGAGTTATATGCACAAGTTGCTGCATGGGACTATCATGTACTGGTTTAAATATGAAAAGGAACAGGCACTAAATATTTCTACCTATAATGTATTCAGGAGGATATCACAATCAGACATGGTCATTTAAAGCCAGAAAGGCTCAAAGGGCCAAATGCCATCCTCCGTTCCTATTTTGTGTTCCTTTATGAAAAGCAAAGAAAGAAACTTGAGATAGGGTGGCATATTGATCAAAAGTAATACTACAGATCTATGGGTGGGGAAAGAGACAGTATACAAGAGGCCTTAAACCTGTTCTTTGTGTAAAAGCTCTAGCTCTGTCACAGTGTGTAGTTTTCCATGGAGTGACTGGATTTCAGCTGCCTTATTCAGACCAGGAGTCCTCCAGCCAACAGTCAGCAGCAGTGGAGTGTGATTTTTGTCAGGTAGAATCGATAGAGACTTTAATTTAAATGGGAAGTTGTTGCATGTCTGTGTGTGTGTGTGTGTGTGTGTGTGTGCGCGCGCGCACGTAACATTTACAGCCCCCAGCAGAGGGGGATCATGCTGTGACTGTCTGTGTAAGGGGGTGATTTTCACAGAGTCCAGCAGAGGGAAATTGCCACAGGTAATTGACACAGCCATGAGTGTAAACATCTTGTCTAATGCATTAATCGTCATTTGTATAAACCTCAATTTCATTAAGCTTCCTGACTTTACATGTCTTTAGTTTCATTAAATTTGTGCAAAAATCTTGTGTTCATTTTTGTGGTAATCTTGTCTTCATGAAAGCAAGCACCTTGTGTTCATTTGTGGGATAA